CCGTTAATCATAAAACCATTGACCACGACCATTAAACGAATAAACACGACCATGAATCATTGACTTACGTAACTTCTTTTACCCACAAAAATACTGATAAAAATTCAGAAATTCCATTTACTCCAACTAAATACATCATATTCTAGACGAATCAAATACAATATTATGAACCAATAAAAAACTAACCTCGTTCAAGGTGTCAGAGATGAAAAATTGACTTCCTTTAATGGATTCAAGATGTGAAAAATGTTGGAAAATGTATGGAAGTTCTTCAGAACCACGTGAAAGATGTGCTTCTGGACAATACGGACTGAAAAATATTTTTATTTTCTGCAATCGGTGAGAATGTGTGGGTATATAATAAATGATAGTACAAAAATTTGGTGGGAAATTATTAAGTTTGTGGTACTTTAATAAATTCATGGCCATGAATCAAGTGGAACTCGCCCATGGTTTTAATTACACCAACCTACGTGATTCCGTGCCAGATTTGTTGTAGTTCAATTCAATTGGGGGTATATCCATAATTACAGAATCTCTAAAATGTCAGAAAAGTTAAAATTGGATCAGTTGAGTCAATTTTTATAATTTAAGTTATTTGAGCAAAATAGAAAAATTTTTCAGGTCAGCTGAGTCAATTTCTCGATATTCTCTCGTACTCAAAATACAAAAACAAAAAAAGAAGAAAAAAATTAACCGACGCGAGCTCGAGCGACCAACCCAGCACCCTCACGACCTTCGGTATCTCCCTCGTGATCTTCGTCCTCCCGGCGGTACGATCCCCGACCGATCACACTCACGCCGACGGATCTTTCTGCGGCGGCGTAACCCCGACCCACGGCAGCCAGATATGCAGCGGTAACTTCCTTCCGGTCATAAACCAGCACAAACCGAAGCAATTTAAGCGGTAAAACTTTAGTTAACCAAGTTCGTTAACGTTGATTTAATTGGTTCTGTTTAGAATTCGGCCTGAATAGCTTCTGAACAATGAAAACCTCGTCTTTGTTTATTTTAGAAACTTCATTTCAGTCGAAATTTGTTTTCGTTAAAGGATTAAGATAAGTGGTTCCTTACTTGAATGGCTTGTTAAGTATGTAATTGATGCAAATTATTGATACTTAAGCCAGTTTTATAAACGTGGAGTTGATATAGCATGTTGGAATCGCTGATGAGAATATGTTTGGTGAATATACTGTGTGATGTATTTTCATGATGTGTGTAGTTATGAATTTTTGATATTGAAGTTGGATTATGGATTTGGGTTTTAGTTTCCTGAATCCTTGTGAAGAAAAATGCATAATTTGTTGAGTATGTGAAGCACATACTTTCATGATAGTAAAATGCATAATTAGTTTGGCTATGTTGAGCATATACATTCATATTAGTTTGGATTAGTTGAAAAGCAAGCATGTTGTTTCATTTAGACGAGATTGAATTTAGTATGCTTAAAGAAGAGGTTAATCTGGTTTACGCTTATCAAGAATTGGAATGGTATTAGTTTAGTCAATTTTATTATGTTGTGTAAGCTTGGTGACTATTGAAGTAGAACTTGCATTTTAAATAAGGATGGAGTCGTTTCAGTTTGATTTTTCATGCTAGTTTGATTGGAATTAAACGAAATGAACGAACACCAGTTCATTGATGGTTCAAAATTTATATGTTGAACCAATACATGAAATATATACATGTATACATGTCTATATAATCTTAGTTGGTTATAGAAGAAATTTTTTTTATGTAATCTTGACGTCGTCCTTTTTCTTGCTTTCTTACAATCTTACCAGATATTCATTGTTAGTATTGTTTACTGAAATGCAATGCAAGCTGCAAGGGTCTCTGCTAAATTGACTCGACGAGGTTTGTCTTGTTGCCATGCATATAATCCAACCATGGACACTTCAGGCCGATTTCTTGTTTCAACTTCTTCGCATGTGGGAGTCAACTTCTTCAAAAGACTTCCGATGAATAGCACAGAACGAGAAGTTGATGATTGCTGGTATGGACGAAAAACTTATTCATCTAAAACTCATGACCCAGTATATATGATTGCAATTATATAGTCTGATTATGATTTATGAGCTATGGGAAATCCTACAGTAAGTAGAATTAACCATAGCTTGTCGATTTGGTGTGACGTGAATATGGGCCATAGCTTTGAAGATTTTGTTTTGTATATAATTACTCGACTGTCAGCAATATCATGACTCATGGAAATGTGTTATAGGATTTTCCTTGGGTAAATGCAATAGAAACCTTACTTTGGGTCTGGTTAGGAAGAAACAACATTTGCATTTCCATTGAATATGTTGTTTAAGAAGAAACAACATATTCAATGGAAAGGCAAATGGTTGAAGGGGTTATTAGAATTAGAAAAATGTCAATTTCGCTTTGTTTTCCTACACATGGTGAATTTAACAATTACTGTCCCTTTGCAATTTATACAAATTAGGGCAGACTTCTGTAAGCTCTGTGGGGAGTTTGCTCCCTTATATGCATCATGCAATATACTTGGTTTATTGGGATCTGTAACTTGTGTACTAAAATCTAAAACTGTACTTTATCCATTATTACTTTTCTAATGACGTATACATTTAGATTAACCGTGGAATTTTTAGTATCTATTTCATGATTTTAAGTCTCATACTTTGGTTTGAATGTAACGCTGCATTTCTTCTTTCCAGTCAACAGGATGGAAGAGATGCAGCCCCTTTGAGAGAAAATAGCAGGAGATTGTCCCAGAGTGATATTCTAAAATGGGTAGTTCCTAGTACGAGATGTAAATATAGAGAGTCGAGTAATATTCATGACACCTGGCATTTATCGAATTGTCAAATGTCCACGATGACCTCAACAAAGGTGTTCCAAATTTTGGAATGACTTTTTTCCTTTGTTCTATTCTTGAGTTCCTATTCCAGTCAAGATCCCTATCCTTCTCTTATTTGTACCCTTGTCTCTTTATGTTATTCGCGAAAGAGTTGAAATGAGCTTTATTTTTTTTTAAATATCTGTAATTGTAACTTCTTGCAATGTTGTTTTCGATTGTAATTGTTATTGCCTATTATTGGGTTGTTTGATGAATTGTTGTTTCTGCTCTCCCAGTATTTATGCAATATTCCACAGTTCGTGAAGATTGTTGAAGTTGGTCCAAGAGACGGACTACAAAATGAAAAGCACATTATACCAACTTCTGTTAAGGTTGAATTGATAAAGATGCTAGTCTCTTCTGGGTTGCCTATTGTTGAAGCCACGAGTTTTGTCTCTCCAAAATGGGTACCGCAGGTAATTGGGTTTGATATTCTATGAACATGTTGATGGGTATATTTTCTGTTCCTGAAACAGTTCCTTTCTATCATTGTTCGTTCTTCTGGTGCTGCTCTTCCACTTTTCATGTGCTTTACCTTCATGTCTGTGTTTCTTGTACATATACTTATAATCTCCTGTCATATTTTCCTCATATTTTTCTCAGTTAGCAGATGCAAAAGATGTTATGGGGGGAATTAAAAATGTTGAAGGTGCTCGATTTCCTGTGTTAACTCCAAATATTAAAGTATGCATTCTTCAAGAGTAATAAAAAGTTAGGACTAATCTGGAAAGAATTTTGTGATAATTGATGAGGTTTTTGGATCTTTTTGTCTAGGGTTTTGAAGCAGCTGTTTCAGCTGGAGCAAAGGAAGTTGCCATCTTTGCTTCAGCTTCCGAATCCTTCTCAAAGTCAAACATAAATTGCAGCATAGAAGAAAGTCTACGCCGTTACCATGAAGTTGCTGTTGCTGCAAGAAAACACGCCCTTCCAGTTCGTGGGTAGGTACTTCAAATCAGAAAACTGAGTATTTTTAATGGATCAGATATTTGATCATGATTTTGCAATCTTCTAGTGTTACACTTCTCCAATGTTTTTTAGAATAAGGAAATTTAGCTGCATTGGCTTGACTTAGTATCCAGACAAGCTAGCACCCAAATAAATACAGCTACTAAGAAAATTGGCTTCCTTTTAAGCTACTCCTCTCAAACTAGATCCTCCCATACATGGTTTAGAACACATGCAGTAGCTTTAGAGCGAATAAACATTGAATGTGAAATTAGTAAGGCAAGATGCATAGTTATGATCGAACCCGAATAACTAAAATAATATTGAAATATGTAGAGGCGGTTTGAGAGAATCAGATAAATCCATTATCGTTCACAGAATATATATAGACAAATATACAAGGTTGACCTAAGTAAAGAATGTAAAAGAACGATAAAGGACAAAATAATAAAGACTATTACAATAATAATATAAAGAATAGGTATTCTAACACTCCCCTCAAGTTGGAGCATATAGGTTAATCATGTTCAACTTATTAGAGAGATAATCTATTCATGTTCCATTCAATGCTTCAGTGAAGATATCTCGTAAATTGTTCTCTAGTCTTCACATATCATGTAGATACCAATCCTTACTGTATTTTCTCGTGTTAATAATGCCAGTCGACTTCAATGTGTTTAGTCCGTTCATGAAATACTGGATTGGATGCAATATTTTTTTGATGAGGAACACATATTTCATTGATAATATGAAATATACAAAAAGGGAGGGGACCAATGATGATGGGTTACAAAATAGCCCTCCAATTCATCAAGAGATCATTTGAAGTATAACTAGAAAAAGAAACAAAGTGACATTTACACCAGGTGAGGTCCGAAACCAGGACACTAGTCAAGAAGTTACAGTAGGATTGGTATCTATCTTTAAAAGTTATATTGTTCCTTTCCTTCCATAAACACCAAATGAAAGCCCTAGTAATCAGGGACCATAAGATCACCTTGTCTTTTGTGAAAGGATGATCCCCGAAAGATGCTTGGAGATGGCCAATGATGTTCAATTGATTAGGAGTCTGCTAGCATTGGATGCAATATGGAGAGCTACTTGATTGTCACGCCACATTTTGGTTGGAGTGGTGAATGGTGATATCAAATCCCAAATCAGTAAAAAGTTGATATATCCATACTAATTCACACACTGACTATGCCACCATTCTATATTCTGATTCAACACTTGAACATGACACCACATTTTGTTTCTTACTCTCCTAAGAAACAAGTTTACCTCCGACAAATACATATTATCTTGAGGTTGATCTTCTATCTTCCTTAGATTCAACCAATTGACATCTGAAAAACATTCAATATTAAAATGACCATGATCTTTATATAATAAACCACGTCCAAGAGAACCCTTCAATTAACATAGAATATGTTCTAATGCGGCCCAGTGGTCAACTGTAGGAGAACTCATATACTGATTCATAATACTTATTGGGTATGCATTGTTTGGCCTAGTCACTGTAAGGTAATTTAACTTTACTACTAACCTCCTGTACCTCTCACGATCTTCTAGAAACTCCCCTTCCTTTGCAAGTTGTAAATTAGGCATCACTTGTCTCAGTTAACAATCAAGTACATATTTTCTCTGTGATAAAAGAATTTCCTTCTTGCTTCTAACCTCAATCCCCAAGAAGTCTTTTAACATTCCCAAATCTTTAACATGGAATTGACTATGAAGAAAATTTTGAGAGATAGGATGCCTGATGTATCATTACCAGTAATAACAATATCATTAACATATACAACTAGTAAGATGACACCAGTTTCAGATGGTTTATGAAAGACAGAATCATCTGACTTACTCTTCTTCATTCCAAAGCCTCAATCACTTGACTGAATTTTTCAAACCATGCTCGTGGACTTTGTTTTAACCCATACAAGGATTTATGAAGGCGACATGCCTTTCCATTTTCCCATTGAGCAACAAAATCCGGTGGTTGCTCCATATATACTTCTTCTTGAAGATCACCCTGCAGAAATGCATTTTTAATATCAAGCTGAAGTAAGGGTCTACGGTAGATGGATGCAAACGAAATAAATAACTTGACAAAAGTCAATTTAGCAACCAAGGAAAAGTATCAGAACAATCAATTCCACAAGTCTGTACGTAGCATTTATCAACAAGACATGCTTTCAATCGGGCAACTGATCCATCAGGATTAACTTTAATAGCAAACACTCATTTACAATCGATAGACTTCTTTCTTGCAGGAAGAGAAACTAAATCCCAAGTACATTGTCATCTAAGGCAGTCATCTCCTCCAACATAGCCGCACGCCAACTAGAACGAGATAAAGCTTCACGAACAGTTTTAGGAATATATAAAGACTCAAGGGTTGCAATAAACGAAGATTTAGGGGAGGACAAATGGTTATATGAAACAAAAGAAGAAACAGGATAAGTACATTGGCGTTAACCTTTTAGAAGAGCGACGAGAAGATTATTACTTGTTTTTGGATCCAATGACGAAGAAGCTGTTGGTTTCGGGCATGTGACCGAATGAGGTTGCCGCCGAGTATAAACCTGAGTAATAGGTTGGAGAGAAGGACCAGGCACAAATGGAGAATTACTGCTAGAGGGCACTTCAGTATAAGAATAGACAAGAAAGTCATCATCTTCCTTTGGATGCTCCGCTTGACTATTAATCACAAATGATGAAAACAAAGTATCTTCAAAGAACGTAACATCAGGGGATACAAGATATCTATTGAGATATGGACAATAACATCAATACCCTTTTTGGACACGAGAATAACTAAGGAAAATGTATTTCAAGGACTTGGGGTCCAATTTTGTGAGTTTGGGGCAAACATCCCGAACAAAGCAAGTACAACCAAATATTTTAGGTTTGTTGGAGTATTTAGATTAGTATATTTTATAATATTATAATATTCTGTATTAGTTTGTCCTTTATCATCCTTTTACATTCTGAGGTCAACCTTGTATGTTTGTCTATATGTATTCTTCAGTAATGATAATAGAATTATCCGATTCTCTCACACCTTAGCTTTTACATGGTATCAGAGCATTAGGTCTTCTCTTCCTAAGAAATTAGGATTTTGTGAACCTTAGGATTTTGAAGTTTGAAAGTTGAAACCTTTGGGTTTCCTTTTTTTTTCGTTGTGACCACTGCCACCGACCACCGTTGCCATCACCATCGCCGACCTTTCTCGGCATCATTGCCGCCGATGCTGCTCTGTTCGTGGATTGTGTTCGTTATTATCCTTTGTTTGTGGTTCGTAGTTCATTATCTTTCGTCTGCTGCCGCAGTTGTCCATCACTACCGTAGTCGTCCACCGCTGTTGCTGTTCACTCTTCACTGCTTCCTGTGGGTTCACCGATGTGCACATATTTTCTGACATACTGTTCGTAGCTGGCTATTGTAGTGGGATTAATTTTCCAGCCAATTTCGTGGCTGCTAGGGTTTTTTGTTTTCAAAAAAGTCTGGTTTAGTTGAGAAAATTGGAACGAAGTTAGATCGATGGAAGAAATTTCAATTATCAAGAGGAGGGAGATTAACTTCATGCAAGTCTGTTTTATCTGACATTCCCATTTATTGTCTCTCTTTATTTCAGCTGCCATCTGGGTTAGAAAACAGATTGAAAAAAGGCTAAGCTGAGGAACTTCCTATGGAATAGTGGTGATAATCACAAGTTGCTTCACTGGACACCACATCCAAGCATTTGGAGGATGGAGGTTTGGGAGTGGGTGGACTATTCGCCAAGAATAGTGCCCTCCTTGCTAAATGGGGGTGACGCTTTGACAGCTTTATGGCATCAAATGGTGGAAAGTCTTTATGGTTTGAGTAACCTTGGCTGGTTTACAGAGGAGAAACAGAACAGGTGTGCAAGATGTCCTTGGATCAACATCTCCCGCCATTGGAAGAAGGTGCAGCATTTCTCTACCTTTAAATTGGGTTCTGGCTCTAGAATTTTTTTCTGGCATCACATATCGATTGATGACGGTTCCCTCAAGAATAGATTTCCAAATCTATTCCGTGTATCTTCATTACCTAATGGCACAATTGCTGATTTTTGGGACTCTTCGACTTCATCATGAAAAATCCAAACCAGGAGATTGCTTAAAGATGAGGAAGCTGAGGAGTTTATTGAATTATTGGCTGTTTTAAATCCATACATTCCAAACAATATGGATGATGGCCGGTTTTGGTCTCGGGAGGCTTCTGGTTTGTTTTCAGTGGCATCCCTCTGCAAATCCTCTTCTGTTCCACCTCTAATGTCATCTGATTTATATAAGGCAAATGGAAAACAAAGAGTCCAAAGAAGGTTAGCTTTTTGTTTGGATTATCATAAAATGAAGGTTAAATACTGCTGATGTTCTTCAAAGGAAGCTCTCTGCTCCCTGCTTACAACCCTCAAATCTGCACTTTTTGTCAAGACAACGGGGAGAACTTGCTCCATATATTTTTCAATGTCTTACGCCTAAGAGGCACACGGACACGCGACACGTCAATTTCCAAAAAAGTAGGACACGACACGTTGGGGACACGTTAATTTGTTTTAAATATATATGTGTGCATATTTTATCATATTATCAATATTTATACTATTTTTACCTTTAAACATCAACATAAATACCATAGGTCCATAACATCCATGCATTAAATAAAAAACAGAATGTTATTGATTCAAAAAAAAAAAAACCAGAATGTTAGAAGAAACAGAATGTTGAAATTAAGTGAGATTCTTTCATACTTAAAACATGCCTAAATGTTGAAACATACCTTGTAGCGTGAAGAAATCCGAAAGAAAAGGAAGAGGAACCTGAGCCCCCATGTGTGAATAGCGGGAAGGAAGTGAAGAAAAACGAAGAAAATGAAAGATGAATCGGCCTGAGTGTGGGGAAGGAGGTGAAGAATTTTTTTCTTTTGACCTTGCATGCGTGAATCCAAGACGGGGGAAGAGAGAAGTAAA